TTATTTCTTAATGGTATTACATTTATAGCTTCCAATCACTTACATTGGAATACTCAGTCCTATTTTATGCCTCTCAGTTTAAATGACTGAAAGCCATAAAGGAAGTACCTTGAATAGAAGAGGTAATCAGTAAGAAAAGCAGGGTTAGGGGTTTAAGGAGGAGATATGAGGAGGGGTTAACATGGTAGAATGGGAAAAGCACTGGCTTTAAAGTCAGGAGACCTAGGTGCAAATGTCACCTTTTTTGCTTATTATTTATGTGACCATAGGCAAGCACTTAAAATTCTTAAGTTTCTTCATCTGTAAAATGGAGATAGATGGGACAGTGGGACTCAATTTCTAAAATCCCCTTAAAATTCTATATTTATGAACCTAAGGCATAACTGAAAGGAAGGACATGTAGGTGGAGATGCCCAATCAATCATGGTGGAAGATAAAAGTTTGGGAGTCATATGTCATGGGGTTGTGATTTAAGCTGTTGGATAAATCAATCACCAAGGCAGAGGGTTTAGAGGAGAGGACAAGACAGAGAAAAGGATCAAGGTCTCTACTTTGAGGAAATCTTTACAGGAAGAAGAGCCCGAGAAGAAAATACAAAATGCTAAAAGATCCCTAAAGTATCACACACATTACATTCAACACGCTATACATTGAAAAGTACACACAGAAGAATCCATTTGATAAGTGAAGTGTAGTAGGGAGAACATTGATTGGCTTGGTAAGATACTTGGGCTAAATTCTCAGCTTTTCCATTAATTAGTTGTGTGATCATGGCCTCAGGTTCTTCATCTGTTTAAAAAAAATAGGTTGGATAACATCGATCTTTAAGGTTCCTTACAGCTCTGACATTCTGTGATTCTCTGAATATAAGAGGTTAAGGACTAGGCAGGAAGGGTTAGTACAGCTATTAAGAAAACACGTTGTCCAGGTCCTTGTTAGGACCAAGGAATCTGAGTTGCAGATTGTTAGTCCTTAACATAGGCAGTATCTATGGAAGTGAAAAAGACCAATGTGAATAGTGTGAGATGGGAGAGAGGATTAACTTTAACCCTAACAATTCAGAACCTTTAGAATGAAAGAGCTGGGCCAGCAAATTAGAATCTCTAAGAACAATCATAGGGTTCATAAGAGTGGTATTTTTGTACTTGCTTAAAAGCCTAACAGAAAATTTGAGGAAAATGCGAGAGATAATCATTTTCATATCCCCCTTAAACAGCTAACCTTACATATTGGAAGAGCTTCCTAAGAACTGATTTGCTGTTTCATCATTTACACCCACGATCTCACTGATACTTGTTCCTCCTGACTGATAAAAAGTCTGTACATGGAATTCTAAGCCCTAACTCCTCCCTTTCCCCAGTAAGTGACCTAGATGCTTCATTTGACAACAGTGCTGACAGTAACATCTCTAAAGCCAGATGCCCCATGAGTGGCAGAATTTGGATGCTACTTATTTTAAATAGTGATGGCTGGTCTTGAGCTTCTTCAGCACTCCTACCCAACTGACATGCAAAATTACATAGTTTTACATGCTTTTAGTCTGATTTCAATATTGAATATCTTTAGGTCTCTAATAAAATAAAGAAAAATCACTTTATAAATTGTACTTCAGTTTCCTTTTACTGTTTTCTTCTCTGATAATCATACTCTTCTTTCCCCTCAGCACATATCCAATATGGATTTTGGGACATAATCCCATTGAGAGAGAACTGCAACTCATGCAGGTTGGAAGGGGAAGAGGAGCTTGAGGTACAAAGGCATCAATGCAAAATGGGAACAATACAGAACTTGGAGTCCAGAAAGACCAAAGTTTGCAAACAAGAGATATAGAAATTCATGGGAGGCAACATAGATAAAATTTTATTATTTAAAATTAAAAGTTTTTTGCAGGAATAAAACCAACGTAGCCAAAATTAGAAGAAAAGAAAGAAAATGGGGGAAATTTTACAGCAAGTTTCTCTGATAAATTATCAAATTTATAAGCCAAATTTATAAAAATAAGAGCCATTCCCCAATTAATAAGTAGCCAAAGGATATGAATATGCAGTTTTCAGAGGAAGAGATCAAAGCTATCAATAGTTACATAAAAAATTCTCTAAATCATGAATAATTTAAGAAATTCAAATTAAACTACCTCTGAAATATTACCTCATGTGTCAGATTGGCTAAGGTAACAGAAAATGAAAATAATAAATGCTAGAGGATATATGGGAAAATAGGCACACTAATGCACTGTTGGTAGAGTTGTGAGCTAGTCCAATGATTCTGAAGAACAATTTGAAACTATGCCAAAAGCACTACAAAACTGTGTGTACTCTTTGGCACAGCAATACCATCACTAGTCTATGCCACAAAGAGATCAAGGAAAAAGGAAAAGGATCCGTGTGGACAAAAATGTTTATGGTGGTTCTTTTTGTGGCAGCAATAAATTAGAAACTGAAGGGGGCATCCATCAATTGAGGAATGACTGGACATATTGTGGTATATGAATGTGATGTAATACTATTGTGCTGTAAGAAATGATGAAAGGGATGGTGTCAGAAAAGCCTGGGAAGACTTACAGGAACTGAAGCAAAATGAATGAGTAGAACCAGGGGAATAACGTACACAGTAACAGTAACATTGTAAAGATAATCAGCTGTGAAAGACTTATAACTCTGATCATTGCAATGTTCCACCATAACTCCAAAGGACTTGATGAAAAATGCTATCCACCTCCAGAGAGAGAACTGATAGACTCAGAGTACATATTGAAACAAATTTTTTCTCTTTTTAAATTTTTTTTTGCTTTTTTTGGAACATGGCTAATGTAGAAATATCTTTTGCATGATTTCATATGTATAATGGGTATCATATCTTTATTTCTCAATAGGTAGAATAGTAGAGAGAGAGAGAGATTGAAAATAAAAATAAAATATAAAAAAGAGAAAGACCTGGGGTTTGAATCGTACTTCTGATACTCCCTAAATATGTGATGTGATCGTGACCAAGTCACTCAATTTCTCTTTCCTTTGCTTTCAGTTTCCTCATCTGTAAAATGAGCATAATACCAGCCATATATTCTGGTTGTGAGAATCAAACAACCATCTATGCAAAGCATAAGGCTACATATGTTAGCTGTTTTTATTACCATTGCTTCTCCTAGGAATCTTAGAGAAAGATAATACAATCTAATGTATGTAAACAAAACTGGGGTGGACTGACAAGAAAGTTCAGTAATCCCAAGGTTATCTGCTGCCTACAAGGAGAGACAAAAATGGGAATGCCTAGAAAAGACTAATGATTTAAGCCTATACCAAACCTAAAGCAACTTATCTAACTCTTTGTATTTCTCCCTATCTAATCTCATTGGAGTTAACTGAATAAGGTGAGATTGTATGTTTATAAATTTTCTCAAGTCTAATAAATATTAGATTTGTTCTAGGCATATCATTATCTGTTATTTATAAACCTTATTCTCTAACCAAGAACGACTACTCATCATTCCCAAAGCATGGTCTGTGCTTTTCCTGGTTCTTTGTCTTTATCTTACTGGTGAGAAGTAATTTCCCTATTTCCCAATGTTTCCTTAGAACTTTCTACCTCTCATAGTATGCACCACATTCTGCCTTGTCAAACCACAATTAGAGCTAATTGTGAATGTATCTTACGTTCCCTACTTGATTATAAGCCCTGTAAAGAGAAGGGTGATGGGGGCAGCTAGGTGGCGCAGTGGATAGAGCACCAACCCTGGAGTCAGGAGGACCTGAGTTCAAATCTAATCTCATACCAGACACTTGATACTTTACTAGATGTGTGACCCTGGGCAAGTCACTTAACCCCAATTGCCTCATATAAAAAAAAAAGAGGATGATGACAAGTTCATCTCTTAAGCCCCCACAGTGCCTTGCTTGATAATTTCCACAAAGCAGCTGTTTAATAAACAGTTCCTGGATTAAATTTGTTGAAATTAATTCTGTACTGCAGACTGTGGGCTGTGTTGTAGTGGACACAGTAGGAAGGAGAAGGAGAAATTGGTAAAACTGATCCCAGGGGATCAGTCAATGGAGGAAAAATCACTCCTCATAGATCCCCATGGTAGGTGGCAATGGAACTACCTAAAGTAAGTGGTAGTGATGTAGTAGGAGACTCTTATTTTAGAATTAGTCCTCTTTTTTTTTTCAAAAGAAAACTTCAAAGCAGGTAAAATTTGTCTTTGTGACTTCATAACCTCCTTTTTCTATTTCATGTTCCTTCTCTTCAGGTACCCAGGACATTATACTCCCCAAAATCTTCTCTGTTAGAAACCTAAAGTGATCCAAAAAATTCTCAAAGTTTCAAGTCTTCATGTGTGAACGTTGCTGTATCCCTTCAGTATTTTTATTTTAAAAAGTATTAAAGGGAGATAGAAATGATTAAGGCAGAATAATGAAGTCTACTAATGGCAGAATTCTACTTCTTTCATTCACTCCCTGTATGATCACTGACCAATCACTTACTTAAGCCTCCCTCAGCCTCAGTGCTAGTGCTCCTCAAATATTCCATGTACTCCTACTTTAGTACGTATAAAACCTGCTCTGAATCCATTTTATGAGATAGAAATACATTTCCTGACCTTTATATATTTATCCAGTTCATCTAGCATAGGGAAAAGTGGTCATTCAAAATCTGTAGCAAAACAGTCAAGAACAAAATTTCCTCTTTCTCTCTTTTAAATGACCATTCAAAAGGGAAACTGTTCAATGGGGAAATAGATACAAGATAGGACCCATTCTTGTCCCTGTATGTTATCGACTAAAGAAGGAAAAAAGATATATTTGCCAGACTATTTCTTATCTTCTCCAGGTGAAGAGAAGGCAACTGAAGGCAACTGATACTACTTAATATTTTGTATTGTTACACATGCTAAGAAAGATACAAAGAAACTGCTGTTATTCTTATTCTCTGGTTACATTTTTAACATTCCAAATAATCGAATCTACAAGTGGGGGAAATATGAATATGATCTGGTGACCACTCACCCATCCAGACTTCTCCAAATTGTCCTGCTCCAAGCTTCTTTACTAGCTTAATTGATTCACGTGGAATTTCCCAAGCATCTTTATCCCATGGTTTTTGTGGTTTTGGACAAATACATGGCTTCTCAAGCCTTCTGCACAAACCATCCGGCTGCTCTAAATTTTAAAGAAAAAAAATCATTAAAATAGTATTTTGCATTGCATCATATACAGAAATTCTATATTTTAGACTAAAAGTGTTTACCTCAGATCTGCCCTAGTTGATAAATAATTATAGGGTTTCCCTTGAAATAGATATTAATTTGGGACATTTCTAAATGAAAAGACAGGATTATTCTTCTTGTTATTGTTTGAAGATAATTTTATTTGATAGCCTAATTTTATTTTGTTTTGCTATGTTTGTGTGTGTGTGGGGGGGTATTTGTATGCATATGTGCGAATGCCATGTGTATTTGGCAGAAACTGCTGAATGGAATAAGGAATCATTCAAAGGGGTACAGCCTAAGCTTCCAAACAGGAAAAAAGAACAATGAAGAATATTTATTGTCCAGAATATGACAAATAGTTAGCTGGAATACCTATAGAAATTGACACTCTATGTGTGTGTATGACAAACACTGAAAAAAACCAAAGAATTAAGCCCAGAATTAAACAGGAGGAGAAGGAAACACTTTTGATTACTTTTAGAAAAGTGCAAACCATCTTTCAAGACCCCCAACTTCTTCCTAAAACAAAGGCACATCTTCTTTAATATCAACATTCCATTGATGTTATATGGCTCTCATTCATGGAAAACTGCAGTTTCCAGAGAACTAAAACTGACTACCAAGTAGGAGGAAATGGAAAGGCACATAGTGGGTATCAGCAGGTTGCAGTGCATAAACAAAGAAGGTGGGGGTGGGGAGGGAGCACATTCTAGTCCAAGGGAAGAGCCTGCACCAAGGGACAGACATGGGAAATGGAATGTTGTATGGGAAGATGTAGGAGGAGGCCAATTTGGCTGGACTTCAGAATGAGTGGAGGAAAATACTATATAGTAAATCTGAAAAGAACAGGCTGAAGCATAATTAGGACAGGTTTTCAATGCCAAGCTGAAGAGTTTGGGTTTTATCCTCTAGGCAATAGGAAGCCACAAGAGCTTTTGAGGTAGGGAAATGACATGATCAGAACTGTGCAGAAGAACTCTGACAGCTATGGCAAGAATGGGCTGGAGAAGAGAGGGTAGCTACAAAGAGCCAATTAGGAGACTACTATAATAATTCGGGGGACTGGTGATTAAGCCCTGAAGTAGGATGGTGGCTTAGTGAGTAGAATGAAGAAGATAGATTCAAGAGATGTGGTGGAATTAGAATGGACAACACTCAGCAACTGAAGAGACAGTGAGATGAGGAAGATGAGATTGTGAAGCTAAGTGATTAGACAGTTGTGTCCTCACCAAAAATAGGGAGCACACAGTGGGTACCACAATGATGAACCCCAATAGTACAGAATATATGTTCATTTCTATCTTTTTTCTTTTAAAAGACAATCTTAAAACTCCTCCTAATGCCTCCCAGGAAAAGAGTCCTTTACATAAAACTCAATCAACTTGTGTCTCTTTCTGATCACTGAATTAGGACAGTACAATGTGTAAACATTAGTATTTCTTATTGATAGAAATATCCAGGATGCTAATTGATGGGTATTTGTACCCCAAGATACTTCTAGATCATCAAGATCATTAGATCTGAAGAAATATTTGCTTTTTTTAAAGACAACTAGCTAAAGATTTAAAAATAAAAAAGCATTTTATGCTATTAAAAATGCATGTTATAGTATTTGTTGGCCTTACTTTGATAATGCTTAATCATGTCACTGATAGAGGAAAAAGTGACTCTCGGAGATATGTAATAACCTCCATTGTCCAGACTTCTAATTTTGTAGTGCTTAATAACATCACCATGCAGTGGGTCATAATCTCGGACAGAAAGAGAGAAACTTCCTATGGAAAAATAAAGCAATGACTTTAGTTAGGTTAAAGAGTCGTTATAGATTTTCATTTTATTTTACATTATAGAAAATGAATGTTATTAAATATGATAAATATAAACTAAGTTTAAAACTTTTCGTACTTACCCTTTTAAAAAATGACACTGTATTGACCTTTTATCTTTACATCATATATTTTATCCAATATACTCCCCCTTCTTTCTCTCCTTAAAGTCATAAAGAATTTTTAAAAACCCAGTTCATTAAAATAACTAACACATCAAAAAGAAAGTCTGACATTATATTCAGTGTCTCACACTCATAGTTCTCCTGTCTTTGCAGAGAAGCTGGGGGAAATGCCTCTCGTGTATGTTCTCTGGAGCACATCTTAGTTATTATTATTCCATGGGATTCAGTTTTGATTGTTATTGTGGTTGTTTTTTTTTCCAATTGCATCAGTGTAGTCATTGTACACATTGTTTACCTGGTTCTGCTTACTTCACCTTAGACCATTCTTATGTCTTTCCATACTTCTGTGTAGTCATCATATTCATTTTTTTCTTAGAGCAAAGTATTATTGTATTACATTTATGTCTCCCAACATGTTTTGCTACTTCCTAGTCTGTGAGTACCTGCTTCGCTTCTAGTTCTTTTCTATTAAAAAGTGCTGTATGATATTTTCATATGCATATTGGGCTTTTTTTTAACCTTTGACTTCTTCAAAGTATTTGCCTAGTAGTGGGCTCTCTAGGTCAAAGGGTTTGGAGAATTTAGCCTATTTCTTAGCATAAGCAAAACTGTTTCCTACCAATCATCAAATTTTAAGGTCTAGAATTTTTTTTATTTTTAAATTTTTTTGGCAAGGCAATCGAGGTTAAGTGACTTGCCTAGAGTCACACAGCTAGTAAGTGTTATGTGTCTGAGGCCACATTTGAACTCAGATCCTCCTGACTCCAGGGCTGGTGCTCTATGTACTGTGCCACCTAGCTGCCCCAGGTCTAGATATTTTAAATATTCTTATTGAATATTTTAATATGTATTATCAAATATTATTATACAATATTTAGTATGCATTATCAACTTTTTTTAAAGAAATTTACCTAACATACTATTCTCATTCTCTCATAATGGCCTTTTTCTTTAAAAAAAAAAACTTAATTTTAAAATAAATGGAAATATAACTTCTTGATTTATTTTCTTTTAATAATAGCTAACATTTGACTGTAGATGGCTTTAATTTCTTCATAAGAGAACTGCTTGTTCATATCCTTTGACCATTTATCAACTGGGGAATGACTTGTATTCTTATAACTTTGACTTAATTCTCTACATATATTAGAAATGAGGCCCTTATCAGAGAGACTGGTTGTAAAAATTCTTTCCCAATTTTCTACCTTCCTTCTAATCTTAGTTGCATTGGCTTTGTTTGTGCAAAAACTTTTCAATTTAATATAATCAAAACTATCTATTTTGCATTTCGCAATGTTCTCTATCTCCTGTTTGGTCATGAATTCTTCTGTTCTCCATAAATCTGATAGGTGAACTATTCCTTGCTCTCCCAGTTTGCTTATAGTATCAGCCTTTATATCTAAATCATGAACCCATTTTGACTTTATTTTGATATATGGTGTGAGATTTTGGTCTATGCCTAGTTTCTGCCATACTCTTTTCCAGTTTTCCCAGGAGTTTTTTTTTCAAATAGTGAGTTCTTATCCCAGAAGCTAGGGGTCTTTGGGTTTATCAAATAGTATATTCCTATAGTCATTGACTACTGTTTCTTGCATACCTAACCTATTCCACTGATCCACCACTCTATTTCTTAGCCAGTACCAAGTAGTTTTGATGACTGCTGTTTTATAATACAATTTAAGATCTGGAACAGCTAGGCCACCTTCCCCTGCATTTCTTTTCATTAGTTCTCTTGATATTCTGGACCTTTTCTTCTTACAGATGAATCTTGTTATTATTCTTTCTAGCTCTATAAAATAATTTTTGATAGTTTGATTAGTATGGCACTGAATAAGTAAATTAGTTTAGGTAGAATTTTCATTTTTATTATATTAGCTCAGCCTACCCATGAGCAACTGATGTTTTTCCAGTTATTTAGATCTGACTTTATTTGTGTGGAAAGCATTTTGTAATTGTGTTCATATAGTTCCTGGGTTTGTTTGGGTAGGTTGATTCCTAAATATTTTATAATGTCTAATATATTGTATTATTGTATTATATTTTATATTATATTTATGTTTATATATTTATTATATTTAAAATATTATAATATTTTATAATGCTCTAAATCACTATTGATTAGAAAAATGGGAATCAAAACAACTCTGAGGTACCACATCACACCTATCAGATTGGCCAGCATAACAAAACGGGAAAATGATAAATGTTGGAGAAGATGTGGGAAAACTGGAACACTAATGCATTGTTGGTGGAGTTGTAAAATGATCCAACCATTTTGAAGAGCAATTTGGAACTATACCCAAAGGGCTACAAAAATGTGCATACCCTTTGACCCAGCAATAGCACTTCTAGGGTTGTATCCCAAAGAGATCATAAAAATGGGGAAAGGACCCACATGTACAAAAATATTTATAGCAGCTTTTTTTGTGGTGGCAAAGAATTGGAAATTAAGGGAATGCACATCAATTGGGGAATGGCTGAACAAGTTGTGGTATATGAATGTAATGGAATGCTATTGTGCTGCAAGAAATGATGAGCAGGCGAACTTCAGAAAAACCTGGAAAGACTTGTATGGTGTGATGCTGAGTGAAGTGAGCAGAACCAGGAGAACATTGTACACAGTAACAGCCACATTGTGCAATGACTAACACTGATAGACTTTGCCCTTCTCAGCAATGCAAGGATCTAAGAGATCTCCAAAGGTCTCATGATGGAAAATGCTATCCACATCCAAAGAAAGAACTATGGAGTTTCAATGCAGATCGAAGCATACTATTTGCTATTTTTTCTTCTGTTTTGTTTTGTTTTCTCTCTTTCTTATGGTTCTTCCTATTAGTTCTAATTCTTCCTTACAACATCACTAATATGAAAATATGTTTAATAGGAATATACATGTGTGTATATATATATATATATACATATATAGTATAAATATATACATATATACATCCTATATCAGATTGCATGCCATCTTGGGGAGGGAGGTGGGAAGGGAAAGAAAGAAAAATGTAAAACTCAAAAGCTTGTGGAAGTGATTGTTGATAAATTAAAATAAATTAATAAAAAAAGAAAAAATAATAGTTAACGTTTATATAGTACTTACTATGCAACAGGTATTATACTAAGCCCTTTATTATCTCATTTGGTTCCCACATTAACCTTGAAAGTAGATGCTATTATTATTCCCATTTTACAGATGAGGAAACTGAGGCAAACAGTGGTTAAGTGACTTGTCCAGGGTCACACAGCTAATAAGTGTCTAATGCTGGATTTGAACTCACTTCTTCCTGACTCCAGTCCCAGCACTCTATCCGTTGTGCCACCTACTTACCTTTACAAATGTTTGAATGTTTGAAAAATATTTCAAAGCCTTACATATTGTAAGAAACGATCATTTTATAAAAATGGCCTTTATTGTAATAGTGTACACAATTATTTTTATAGCACAAGTAACCATTTAAAAAATACTTTTTTTTTTGTAATTCTGAACTTGACAAATACCGGTAAATACAAGCATTTCCTTATACAAGAAGAGCAAAGACGATTGCACATGAGTAATCAAATCTCCATCATTTACAGCTGGTTTTTAAAGTCATATAATAAATTCAGCACATTAGTTTCAAAGTTCTCCTGCTTGTCTCCTCTTGTCTCCTTGCTTTCCTTCTGAACCTCTTTCTCTTTTCTTCTGTGCATCTTTAAATGTATTACTGACACATTTTTTTGGTACCACCATCATTAGCCCTCTTCTCCACACCAATTCTCTATCCCTCCTCCCTCCCCTATTTTAAACCTTCTCTTGGAACCAAAATGCACAGTTAAGCAAAACAAGCCCACATTGATCTGGTCCAAAAAATGTATTTCTGTCCTCAGAGTAACAACGTAAAATGCTACTATATCTATAATGTCCCAAATCTTAAAGCCTTAAGCTTTTGCTATCTGTTGACTTATTCTTCAAAAATAGTTTCAGTAAATTGCTTCAGGAATAATATTTTGTAAAACAAAATAAATGTGTCCCACCTTTTAATGTTTCACTTTCTCGGATAAGAAATGATCCTGCACTATTCCCTGGAGCCAAAAGCTGTCTTTCAGCATCTTTCCGGGTTATATCTTTAAAGAACCATCTGAAAAGGAAATGTGAAAAAGTTTGGAGATGGTATTTCCTCGGGAAGCAATGGCATAAATAAGGTAAAAATACAACAACAGGAAGTGCATAAGTTATATGAAATTTTGGAAGAACTTACTCTTCTGTTTCCAAAGTGTTGACTTTTGCTACATAATTGCTGGGAATGAAGCCTTCTTTTTTGGTTAAAAGAGATCTAGCTTTCCACCATTCTCCATGCCTGAAACAAAAATACATATAAAAGGATGTTAATATCAATAAGTCAAGAACTGGTTATTGTTCTCTTTTGGTAAATTGAACCTAGAACTCCAAGATTTGAGTGCAAACATCACTCTCCTCTTTCTTGAGCCCAAACATAGGTTGAGTATGGAGTATATATTGAGCACTAACTCGCAATCCCAAAAGTGGGTCACTTTGTTTAGTGTTACACAAAGCACTTTTAATAGATCATGTTACCATACTTTAGAAACATAAATACTTATGTGTATGTACATACACACATATATATTTCTATTCAGCTATAAATCAGTTATTCATCTCAATTCACCTAAGAGAGATGTATCACTATTCTTGTGACAAAATTAAGAAGAAAAGGAAAATGAGACAAGTGAGCAAATGTCACCCTTCCATGTTATATTAACTCTCTTATTAAATTACCTGGTTTCTATAGCAATATTCATTATGGAAAAATTTTGAATAAAAAAATTACAATGTAATGAGTCATTTCCTCATTCTCCAGTTTTTACAAAGAAGGTATATATAGAGTAAAGCATATGTTATGTGCGTCTGTGTGAGGGGAAATGAAAAGATAATTAAGTTACGTCATTTGCCTGCTCTCCAAAATCGTTTAGAAGTACAAAATGCCTACTCCTCAAATTCCTTGATGCCACTACAGGGTAGGAAAAGAAGTCTTTAATCACAATACACATGAGGATGTTTATAGTTTTCCCTCCTCAAATCTACTCAATACTTGAAATGATAACATATGTATTCAAAGCATGTTGGTATGTGCTAGAGATAGCTAAGATTAAAACATGTAGAATGTCTTATTCTCAAGTTAGTCTTCTAACTAAGTAAATGAGATAAAATAGAAGAAGAGGTTAGGGAAATAATGTGGAAAATGAGATACTGTGTATATAGCAAATATATAATATTAATGCTGAGTATGGTCTTCACAAATAAAAGTAGTTGCTTTTAGAGTCTTACGTTCTTTAGACTCACAAAACCAAATTAATTTTTTAAAGTAAAAAAGCAGCATCCTTAACAGTGCTTGGGGCCTACTTAGACACAAAAAATTCCTGAAGTTGTAAAACAGGCCAAAAACAAATACATTTTTCTACAAAGTGAGACTAGCCAGTAGAGTGTTCTAGCAGCCAAACTTAAAAGGCAAAAGTAGTTATTTTGACCTTGCCCTATCTAAGCACCAAATTGTACCAGTAGCAAAGTTGTGAAGTTTCACTTTCACATGACAAGGATCAGGTTAACACTGGGTTACTAGAAGGTAACAGCTGTGGATAAAATGGACAGGTCTATAAGATTTGGATGGGTTTGGGAATCAAAAGCCAGAAGTTGCAATGTGGATATACTTACTCTTCAATGATTTTCAATTTTTCTCCTTTCTTGAAGGATAAATCATCAGGGTGAAGGCCATCATAGGGATATAAGGCTATTACCACAGTCCCTTGCTCTTCAGAATCTGTTAATGAATAACTCAAGTGAAAACACCTAAAAGATAAACCCTCAGAAACACTGATCAAGTGCCCATTCTGTGCAGAACACTAAGTTGGGAACTATAGACAGGTATTTTTAAGGGAATAAGACACATGGCTCCTGCCCTTGGAGGATCAAGGAGTGGACAGTCCACAAGAATCCACAGAAAATACAAAAAAAATATACATGAAGAAAGAAATAAATATCATTAATTACAACTGCCTAGGGCATATACAAAAGCTAAGGGGAAGTTACTTTACAAAGGATCTGAAAGTGTTTTAAAAACACATGGATGTTCTGATGAAAACATACCTTTCTTTTGAAACCTTTGTCCTGGTAAAAGTTGAGAATCTGGACTGAGCACCTACAAAGAGAATATGTGTTAAGCATCTCTGCACAGTAATAGTTTTTCTGGGTCATATCTGTGTTCCATATAATGCCTTTAATGCTAACAGTGGCAACTGGGATGTGAGTTTGATGCTTCCATAAATAAGAAAGGAGAGAAAAATGCAAGAAGAAATTCTGAAAAGTAATGCACAGGAATAGCTCACGGGATTGGGCAGGATCAAGGAGAGGTGTATGGGAAACTGAGAGGTGAGGGGATAAAGTGCCAAATGGAGGCTTTCACCAATGGGAAACCACCTTCTTGTGGTGTCAAGAACTCAAAGAGAAATGTTTCATGACCAACTCTTACCCATCACTGGTAGCAGTGGTATATTCTCTAGGTTGTTTTGATTTTCTTTGGATGGAAACAAAGAGGGTGGAACACAGGGAAGAGAAGGAATATGTACCTAGTCACTGTAAATTCTGATGATATATTCTCTTGTCCCACAAAGGTGGTACAATGACTCAGGAAGCGCCCAGTACTTCTTGAAAGATAGATAGAATGAATGTAAAATGATCACAAATCCTCCAATTTTTTTTTACTCCATTGATCATCTGATTAAAGTGATTTAACATAAATGGCACAAAGTGTAGACCATGTTAAAAAAAAAACCTATCATAGATATCACCAGGCTGATGGAATTCTATTATGAATGCCAAGGGATTTTTTTTTAACCTGCCTATAATATTTAATTTAGCTTCAAGTATACTTTATCATTTTGAATCTATTTTATACTTAATTTCTTGATCACTAAGATTTGTAGAATTAATATAATGTTTGTTATATAAGACTTAGAGAAAATAATCCAAAGACTAAAAACAGGACTAAAATCTTGAGAGTAGCAAATCATATCATCCAGCCATTATTATCGAGTTTGCCTCTTTAAATGGTTTTCAAATAGGTCATTAATTTATACTTTAAAAATGAGACATCTTTCATGTAATACACATTATTAGCTTTTGACATTATTTTTGACACTATTTTTAGTAATCACAGCATAACATGTATATACAGTACTTAAAAAGTTATGAAGTCTTTACATTTATCATCTCACTTGATTCTCTCAATAACCTTATAAAGTAGGTCTCCAGTTATTATTGCCATTTTACAGATTAGGAAACCTAGGCTCAGAGAGGTTAAGTGATTTGTGTTAATTGTACAATAAATGTCAGAGGTTAGATTCAAACCCAGGACCCCAAGTCTAAAACGCTCTCTTTGATACCATGCTGTCCCATGACATAATGTGCCTTTTTAAAAAAAATTGTCCTTCCAGTTGTGGCTAACAATTTTTAGTATTCATTGATGCTTTTGTCCATTTCCTTTTATGACCAATGTCATGTATTTTCATAATAATTGGTCTAGCTTCTAAGTAACTGCGCTGGCCATCAATCACGGCAAAGCTAACTGATAATGAAAGAATAGAAATCATGATCTTTACCCACATAGCCAAAGGTGCCAACTAAAATACAATACTGCATTATACATTATGGAAAATAAATTTTCAACAATATTTAGCTACTTCTGATTTCTAAATCAAGTGATTTTTTTTTTACCTCTTTGTTACTGAAAATAAAACTTTTAATAAAGTGAAGTATGTTGTTTCTTCCTATTTAAAAAATTAAATTAAGCACATTTTAATATTCTCCATCACCTATTATTTGTTGTCCAACAAGACTGAAAATGAAAACATTTTCCACACTTGAAATTAAAAAGCACTTGATTTAAAACAGATTAAATTTATGGTGAACTGTGCTAGGGAAGAGGAATTTGATTTTGCATGGGAGCTTTAGCATCTCATGAGAGAAATAAGAATCATTCACTTTCCTCCCTATATTTCCTTGGCTTTCTATTTATAAAGAAAATTATTTTTCTGTTGCAAATCTAATTCCCTGATAAGTCTGAGATGTTTACTCATACAAGAAATAATACAATTTTTGAAAAACTCAGACATGCAATTGTTTAATTTTTGTACTCTCTCATCTCCCACCACATCTCAATTCAGTCACTTTTAACCTTCTTTTCAAAAAAACCCTTCCTCTAACTCATAAATTCTCAAAAAACTCCTTTATATGTTTGGTATCTGAAGAATTGCTGACTAAAAAAAAGTTTACATTTTTTATATATTGATTGTAGGAGACAGGAAACTACAGAAATGGTATAGTGCTTTAAAATATTTTATACTGTATAGAGATATTGTTTAAAATGTTCTTAGAGGCTAGGTACTGGATGATCCTATTAAACCATGCTATGAAAGAGTATGTGACTGATTTTTTGGGGAAAGGATATAAAGGGGAGGATACAGGAGGTTTAATATCAAGTACATTTAAGGTCACTATTATTCAATTTTTTTTCTTCCCCAAGAAATGTAAATTTGTTAGCCAAGGCCTTCCTGGAATGAATGAAAATAAAACATTACCGATTCTACTGTTGTAAAAACTTGCCTAGGGCAAGTACCTAAGAATGAATAAATTTTTTAAAAATTCATTATAAAGAAAGGAACTACAATGTTCTTCACTGTACTAAAAATTAAGGTATTTCTTTCCTTGATTAGCTTGGATGGGTGGGAGAATACAAGGAAAAGATCGGAAGGAAAGAAGAGTTGGAAGGTAATATTTTAGATGTATTCTTTGTTGTAGTTTGCATTTAAGGACACTGTGCTAATCTCACTACATATTCTAATATAAACTTTTTTTCCTTTATAGAATAGTAGATTCATTCTTGAGTTTGAAATTTTCCTTGACACCAGTGATATAAAAATAATTTTCTCAATATAAAGAACACAAAATAATCATTACGCAATAAACGGCCAGGTATCCACAAAGTTGTTTACATGCCTTTAGAATGGTTGAATTAAAAAAAAAAAAACAAATTATTTGAGAACCAGTCAATCGTGATACATGCATATGTTCTCAATTGAATTTTAATTATGCCAGCCATGCTTGGATCTTGCTCTTGGAATTCTCCCCTGAGACTATCTACTTACTGGCCTTTGCTGTTTATTGGACGTTGGATCTCTCACATAAATAGTTCGGTCAGTATTACGTACTGGTTCGGTCTTCAAATCTATTCCATCGTGAGTTGAATTGTCTTTTCTTTTTGATTTTATACATCCCATATTTCCTGTTGGAACACAAAAGCATTTAACTTTTTACCATACTAGAACTGATTTCTCACTTATTCATCACCCAAGCAATTAATGATATTATTAATTCACAATTCTCCATTTATATCATACCTGATCAATAAGGTTGTATATAGACACCATCAATAACATTGGTAAGAATGTAATTGCTTCATCTGTAGGGGGTTATCAAATAAGCAGAAAAGCAAATCCCAGGCCTCAAGAAGTACATAACAAAATTTAAAAGTAATTTCATTTAATAATGATTATGGCTTTACCAGGAGATTATTAAGAGGCAACATGACTTAGTGGATGATGTATTGTGAATTAAAAAGTCCTAGATTCAAATCCCAGCTCAGACACTTATTAAATGTGTGACCCTGGGCAAGTCACTTAACCTCTGTTTGCCTATTTCCTCATCTGTAAAAAGGCAACAATAATCATACATACCCCCCAGGGTTGTTGTGAGTATAAAATGAGATGATATTTGTAAAGTGCTTTGTAATCCATAAAGCACTATATGAAAGCAAATTATTATTATTGGTGAAAGGGGTTCCTATACTATAAGTTGTCTAGCTGTTAAATCAGATTCCTATTTCTGTTTCAATTAAAAAGGTTTTTTTTAAAATAATATTTCTGTTTTTTCATAATGGTGAATGATAGATATAGATGCTATAAATTTTGGAGAATGACTAATATAATTAAATTCACATGCTCACTACTCTTAGAGATCATTTTGACTAATCCCTTCATTTTACAAATGAAGAAATTGAGGCTCAGAGAAGTGAAGTAATTTGTAGGACGTCAATGAGATTTAGTAGAATTAGGATTAGAACCCAAGTCTACCAATTTCTTTAATTGGCACTCTTTCCAGTATACAACCCTGCCTCTCTTCTTAGATCTACATTGGACTTTTGTCCAGAAACCATTTAAAAAAAAAATAAGAATCTTCCCCTCCCCCAGATATTAGGAATTGCTAATCTTCACTGAAGTTACTATCATACTAAAAGTCAATTTTAAATGCGTACCAGAAAGCTTTGGGACAAAGGGATAAAAACAAGCATTTGATTTAATTCCTTTTGAATGAGTTACACACACACACACACACACACACACACACACACACACACACACACAGAGATTACTTGCCCAAAACGTTTATTTGTTCAATGAAGAAATCTTTTCATTGTGAAGGGAAAGGGAATGATATCTCTGGGATTTTGATAGAAAATATATCTTTGGAACATCAATAAATATTCAGCATCTACTATGTGCCAGGCACTGTACTAAGCATTGGGGATACAAGAAAGTTAAACAACAACAACAATAACAACAACAAAAACCAGCCTCTGTTCTCAAGGAGCTCACAGTCTAATGAGAGAAGGAGACAAAATGCAAACAACTATGTACAAACAAGCTATATATAGGATACATCAGAGATAATCAACTAAGGGAAGGCACAAGAATTAACAAGTGAATCAGGAAAAGCTCCTTCTAGAATGGAAGATTTCAGCTAGGCGATCTGGAGATAAACTGTTAGGTTTGAGGAACAGCAAGGCCAGTGTCACTAGATCTGAGTATGTGAGGAAGGGTATAAGGTGTAAGAAGAATGGAAAGGCGGGGTATGTGTGTACAGGTTATGAAAAGCTTTTGAATACCAGAAGATTGTATACATTTGATTTTGGAGGTGATGGGAATCCACTAGAGTTTATTTAGTAGGGAGGATGATGTGTTTAGACCTATGCTTTAGGAATATCACGTTGATGGCTAAGTACAAAATGGAATGAAGTGGCACAGACTTGTATCAGGTAAACCGAGTAAGCGATTACAATAGTTTTAAGTCTAAGGTGAAGCACCAGGGTGGTGGAAGTGTCAGAGGAGAGTAGGGAGCACATGAGAAATATTATAAAGCTGAAATAGACAGAACTTGGCAACAGATTGGCTATGGGGCTTGAGAGTTAGGAGCTGAGGATGACACATAGGCTGCAATCCTACCTTTGACAGGAATAGAGAAGGTTGGAAGGTTAGGGAATTAGGGGAAAAGATAATAAGTTCAGTTTTAGACTTGTTTAGTTTGAAATGTCTACAAGACATCCTGTTTGAGATGTCTAATAGACAGCTGAAGAGATGAGACTGGAGGTCGGCAAAGAGGCTAGGGTTAGATAAGCAGATCTGAGAGTCACCAGCTCTTAAGAATGAGCATTGAATTCAATGTAAGATCACTTTACCATGTCACCTGCTTATGAAGCCTTTAAATTATTCATTTCTAATATTTGTGAAATTTATAGAAAAACAAAGAATGGAATGTTTCTTCTCTTATGCATCCCAATATGACTGAGCTTTGAGTATGTGTCCAGTACCATTCTCCACATTCTGAGATTTAAAACATTTAAAAACAAATGATCAACTCTGAAAGTCCAAGAGCTTCTTCCTAATTTAAACCATGAGGTTTCATCTCTTACTTCTAATGATAAAAGAAACTAAAGTCTTCCCCCCACACACACCTAGGGATTGCCCTTTAATCTCAATTACTAAATGAGAAATAGCTGAAAACAAAACTATTGTCTTACCACAACTTTCTAATATTCAAAGATTGAGCCTTCCTAGCAATGACAACCATCTATCTCGTGCACATTAGAAGCTCAGAAACTTCCCCTACTGTAGAGAGAGGTATGGCCTTATTGATGTAAAGTGGTTAATCACCCAAGAACCACAGAGTAAATTTGATACCCTGCTCCAGATTTTTTTAAAAAAAGAGCTTAGAAGGAATTAGTAAAATTAGGCAAAAGGGCAATGTGGGAAAGCCAGAATTGAATGATGATATTCCTAAATTAAAATGATCTTGAACTTCATTAATAGGAATAAATGTTTCAAAGAGTTTCTGCAATGAAGTTATTTCTATAGAATGCCATGTTGATTTTTTGATTTTCTTCCTTTACCAATTTGCATTACTCGGTTTTGACTTTGCTTACCCAAACCAGAAAAAAAAATTAGGTGTCCATGATTGTGTATATTTGTTTTTCTATTATCCTCTTATTTCTGCCTAATGGAATATAAACCTCTACATCATAATTTCCCATTTGCAGGCACAATGCAAATTAGAACTGCTAAGGACTTGCAAAGGATTCTCATAAAAGGACAAGTTCCCCAAAACTTCCAGACAAACATAAGTGGGACTAGTATTCAGGAAACTTTAAATAAGTATGCTAGACAGAAGGTTAACCTACAAAATCAGCCCTGTCCCCAGCAGCCAAAAGTGTCCAGAAAAATCATTTCTGATCATCAGGTCCACAGAAAATCACTATCTCCATTTTCATTACCAGTGCAGGCTCTCAGGGATAAGAGGTGAGGTCAGGAATAATGGGAAGCAAAGGATAATAGGAGGCAAGCTACCAGGGACTGAATACTTGGTATGAAAATCTGAAGGCTAAATCAGAGAGTGATTGACCCATAGTTTTATTTTGAGAATTTCACATTTAATGCAGAGGCAGAATGTCTAGAGTGCTGGGCTTAGGGTCCAAAGATAACATTAATCATTATGATACTGAATTCTCAAGTTCTGAATACTTTAATCTTTTCCTGCCTTAAATATTTCCATCTTTTCTCTTGAGGAGGTAACAGATACCATGGGACAAGAACCTACTCTGGATTCAGAGGAACTGCATTCAAATCCTTTCTCTGATGCTTACGAGTACAACTTTGGGCTCACTTAACCTACTTGAGCCCCAGTTTCCTCATCTGTAAAATGAAGGGGTTGTACTGTGTCTTATAAGGTCCTTTCAAGTTCTAGATGAATGATTTTTGATCTTGTTTCTCATGCACTCTAAGAATTCTTTTAGTATATAGGAAACGAATTTATTACTGACATCATCTTACTCATCTTTGAGTGTTGTTTAATCATTCTATGGGTGCAGTGTATTGAAAAGACCATTGGAAATATATAAAAAAGATCACTCGTTATGACTAGATAAGATGTATACCAGAAACATAGGGTTAGCTAAATATCAAAGAAACTGTAAACATAACCAACCATATTAATAACAAAAACAATAAAATTTTTAATTTTTATTGTTAATGTTATTATATATAATATATATTATAACATTATGTATAATATATATTATATATATAATAATAACATTATTAATGTTATTGTTAATTAGTGGATAAAAGGTTTGACAAAATGCAACACTCATTTATTTTGGAAATGCTACTTAAAATCAAGAAATAACATTAATTATAATGGAGAAACAAGATGTCCATGGTTACTATTATTATTTGATAAAGTTTAGAAATGATAGCTAGTATAAGAAAAAAATAAGTTAAAGGAATGAGCATTGGCAAAGATAACTTCAAAATATTTTTACTGGAAGATATCATAGTTTATTGAGAATCTTAGATATGCAATGAAAGAAATAATTGAAACAAGCAGTAATTTTAGTAAAGTAGTGGGATATAAAATAGATACACAAAATCAATCTTTAGATATATTACTAACAAAACCTAGTAAGAAATAGGAAAAATTCCATGCAAAACCATAAGATGCACAAAATATTGGGAACCCTCCCACCAATATATACTCAAAACTTATAGTACTATAACACACTTTACATTAATAAAAGAATACAAGAAATTGGAAAAATATTCATTGTTTAAGGTTGGACTACAACAATAATAATAAATAACTAAATTACCTTACAGATTTAGTGCCAAACTACTAAGAGATTTACTTTATAGGCTTAGATAAAATCATAACAAACTACATCTGGACAAAATAAAAGATCAAGAATTTCAACAAAATTGATGGCGGCGGGGGCGGGGGGGAAGGAATGAATATGTCTAACATCACCACATCTCAAACTAGGTGATAAAGCAGTAACTAGTAAAACTATTTTGTCCAGATCAAAGTTAGAAAAATTGATCAGTTGATCAGACTAGAAAAGCAAGACCCCAAAGTAATAGAACAGAGTCATCTAGTATTTGATAAACCAAAGATACC